AGCATATAGGGAAATTCTCGGTGAATGTTAAAAATCATTGTTAGATTGTCATAATTAAAAGCTCTAGGTCAGGATGCATGTAACCTGACATTGACTGTTGGCTCAGCTGTTTACTAGGTAAGTAACTTTGAGCAAATTATTTAAACTTTTTTGAGCCTTGGTTTCCACATTTATAGAATGAGGGGAAATAAGAGTGTTAGTTGTGAGGATTAAGTAAAATAATGTCTATAAAGTTAAACTTAGCACAGGGCATGGCCCTCACTGAGGGTTCAGTAATTTGTGATAATGATGGTGACTGTGATGATGATGATGTGATTGATTGTGGAAGGAGAAAGGTCTTAGTTACTGAGAATCTATTGTCTGAGTTTTGTGATTGCCGAGAGCAGAGAGAAGTGAGAGTGGAGTTAAAAATGACCTGGACTTGGAAGGGTGTGGCCCAAGCATAGTGGCAATGGAAAGGGAGGAGGATCTGGAAGAAAAAGGTCCTGGAAAAATGAGGCTTTTTTTCTCTCCCTTTGGTCATATTAAGTTTTTATAAGCTCAGCTCATATCTATTTGGAATTTGTCACAGAGACTGCTGGAAAGAGATTCAGAATGTGCGTTCTGATACAGAAGGCAGAGCTCATTTTTGCCTTGACAATTTGCTCCGATAGGTGGTGCTAGTGTTGCACCTTTGATCACAGAAGGAGAGAAATGCTTCCTGGAATAATTACACCTTATTAAATTTTTGAAGAAAAAAAAATCAAGAGAAAGACACAGATGTGAGAGTTGAAGACCCGAGTTTACCATTTGCCATTAGAATAAGAGACTGTTGTTAAGAGACAAGCTTGTCTTTTCTTTTTGATTTGGGGGTGTGAGGGAAGTGGTATCCTATTTTTTTCCAAGTTAGAAAAAGAATGGTCTTCTCTTTGTGGAAACACATATGTGTATGGGGGTAAGGGGCAGGGGCGGGCAGCGTATGTATATAGGCAAAGGGAGTAAATACAGGCGTTGTAATCACTTTCTAAGACATTGAGTTATAGAGATTTATTCTGGAATCTAGACGCTAACTAACCATCTAACTTCATTTTATAAATGAGGAAACTCAGACTTGTAGAGAGAAAGTTACTAACCAAGGTCACACAACTAGTGATAATGACCTAAATGTTGTTTACAATGCTGGCTTTAACACAGTCTGTAACACATATCAAGATACATGTACACATACACATACCCCCTTAAATATGAAAAGTGCAAATAATTTTAGGATATTGCTAGAGGAAGGGTAGATGATGAAGGTCAGACCAAGGTTCTCACATTTATTTCCAAGGCTGCTGTTTCTGTCACTCTGCTCCACCTGCGCCTTCTTGCTGAATCTTTAGTCTGACATAAGCTCCTACTTCTTATCTGTTAAGTCACTTTCTCCTAGGAGTATTTTCTTTTATTTATCACTGCCATCATTTATAAGCGCATCCATGACTGAAGAATAAGGAAGTCAAGAGTAACCAGCCTAGCCCGGCCGGTATGGTTCAGTGGTTGAGAATTGACCTATGAACCAGGAGGTCACAGTTCCATTTCTGGTCAGGGCATATGCCTGGTTGCAGGCTTGATCTCCAGTAGGGGGCATGCAGGAGGCAGCTAATTGATGATTCTCTCTAATCATTGATGATTTGATCTCTCAATCTCCCTTCCTCTCTAAAATAAATTTAAAAGTATATATATATTTTTAAAAAGAGTGGTTAACTTAGTTATCCAAACTGAAGTGCAGGACTGTTCTATTTTATGCCATTAGAAATAAAACAGAGAATGATTTTTGTTGTTGTTTATTTACTATCAATGGCAATCTCCAAAGAATTTTGCCTTGCAAATTTGGGAGGGAGGGGAAAACAGAGACTCTATATGCATGAGTGTGAGAGAGTATGTGTATGTATATGATTTTTCTTTTGGAATGAAATATATATATCAGGATATTGTGAAGCTTAACATAAAGTAATAAAAATAAAATTCATACCTGCTCCCAAGCTCTGAAAAACAGAATTCACCATAGTAAAGTCTGGCATTATAATCCCAGCATTATAATCTGACATTATAATTCTTCTTATGAATTATCGTGCTGCTCTTTTTAGTGATGTTCATCAGCAGTCTCATAGGAACCAGATGCGCAGCCTTGCCTTAACCCCAGCAAGGCTTGGAGTATAAGCAGGTCTCTGAGCGCCAGTGTGAAGGTGATGTCCATTGAAACACTAGTGGCTCCAGAGAGCTCGTGTGTGTAGTAGCTGAGACTGGGGAGCCTAAAGGCCGTTCTCTCT